TTCAGATGTCCTCTGTTCATGCATAGCGTCTACCAGATGACACACTTAAGTGGCCTGGTGTCTGTATGCAAGATGCTGCCAAAGGACCAGGCACATGGCTAATGAAAATCATTCATCATTTTAAATCAGAGATGCTGAATTCTTGCAGACTTCTGTTTTGAACAATGCCATTTGAGTTTACATTGGAACAGGCTGTCTTCAACATTTAGGATTGGCCTTGGTCCCAATGACGTAGACAGGAAAGGCATCTCTTTCTCCAAATCTCCATTTGTTGGAATGTTTAATAAATTGTGTTTTCAGAAGTTTATTCGCCTCCCACAAGATTAACTTTACTGAGTCGAATCTTATTATCAATTCTTATCTCCTTCAATTGGTGCAAAGACTCAGATGGGAGATATTGTTCTTTTTTACTTAAAGCCATACATATGAGTTATTACAGAGAACAATTCGTTTTAAATTTGGTTTCTGGGGAAAAATATTTTAAGTCTGCATTATCTCTTCTGTAGGCTTATGATAATGCATATTTATCTTGTTCCCATTTTGGCGTTAGTCTCAAAAAGATTCAAAGCTACATTTGATACTTAAATCACAGAAACTATGTCAAGTGTTAGCATTATCATACTCATTATTTTCTTTTCTCTTGATCTTTAGTTCCCATTTCCATTCTTTTTTTTTATTAAGCCTATCGTGGTTTTCTTTTGTTGTTATTGTAGAGCTATATCAAAACCACTCATATATACACATATGCATTTAAATGTGAAATTGTTCGACTAAATGTATTAGTGCATGTGCATGTTAATTTTTATATTGTGATTGAAACTATATTTAGTTATTACAATTTTGTGTTGTAGAAAACAAAACAAAACAAAAACCACATAGCAGGGAAATGATAAAGTGTAACTGTCTTTTATTGTCTAGCTAAGTGAGCTTTGTTTTAGATTATATGCCTCTAGAAGAAATTGTCTCTTTAATTAAATGCTTCTTCATGAATTTAACTATGAATTCATCATCTACATCAATACAGATGTCTGATATCTGACCAGAATTGTGATTGATAACTGGGAGATTTATCTTACACATTCTCCAATAAAACTACAACTAAGTTAGAATTACCACGATTGAATAGAGCAAAGTTGTAATAAAATGAAATAAAGAAGATAAAATAAAATAAAATAAAAGGAATGTGCCCATGAAATGTTGAGGAAGTGCTGGCCCAGGTAATCAGTATTTAGATCTGTGGGTGGGTTTGCTTCAGTGTCTCTGGCTTTGAACTTGATGGCTGCCCAGTTATCTCAGTGGGCAGCACAGGTCCTTCGGAGCTCAGCTTTGAAGAGGACCCCCAGCCATGGGCAGACAGAAACTCGGGACTGACATAAGTGGGAGACTGACTCCTTAGTTTTTCTTTGATGCTTCTTGAAGAGGGCTGCTCCAAGTCTCTCCTGTCCTTTCTTCATAATCGTTTAAATCAGATCCTTCTTCCAACCCTGAATGGAGAACAGAAGCTACTTTGTCAATTACCAGAGGAGAAGAGGGCCAGGGCTGGAAGCCAAGGATCTCTACTGGAGACAAAGGCGGCCCGCAGGCTTTCTTCTTCTCAAGGCCGGCTCAGCGGGCGCTGGTGCCACCGGCTTCACTCAGGACACCCGTGGGCACTCTGCCTTGCAAGCTACAGCTGCATTGAGTTAAGCACTTCTGAGTACCATGTGTTTCTGTGAGCTGCTCTTCCTGTGCTTTGTACTCTTAAAATTTTCCTATTATATCAAATGTTCCTGAAATACAGGGACGATGCTGACTTTTCATTCTGTGACAGCAGTGGGGCTCCTGTTTCCCCCTCTTGTGTCCCTGCTGGGCTGAAAGCGCCCTGCTCTCTCACTGGCTCTTGCTCGGATTCTTGGGAGACATGGTCAGTGCAGTACCAACCACTTCCAACCACTTGTGCACCTTGGACAAACTCCCTGGAATTTGTTTTCTTCTTGGCATAATGAGGGGATTGGAACAGCTTCCTAATCTGAACAATCTCATTTGAGTTCATATCAGAACAATCTGTTATTAAAAAAAAAAAAAATCCGTGGGTCTATTCCCAGCCGCTGCAGTGAGGATCCTTTTTTTTTTTTTAACGATACCGCGGCGCCCTCCTGTGGTTGAAGTAAATATGCCTGGGGTAAACTTCCAAAGAGCAATGCAGTTTATAGACAGAGGGCTCTCGATTTCCGTGGCTTCTGCATGTGCGAGTTTAACCAACCCTGAACGGAAAATATTTGGGAAAAACATTGCTACTGAACTGAGTTTCTACGGATTTTCCCCTTATCATTATAGACAATTTACATGGCTTTTATATGGCACTGGGTATTACAAGTGATCTAGAGATAATTTAAACTCTATGGGAGAATGTGCATAGGTTCTATGCAAGTACTACTCGGTTTTATATAAGGGACATGAGTATCGGTGGACTTGGGTATCCTCTAGGGGAAGAGGGAGGGCCCTGGAAGGCATCCATCCCTTGTGACTACCCAGGGACAACTGTATAAACCAACTATCCAGAAAGCACAGAATTGCTGTGTAGAGGGTTGCCAAGTGTAACTGAGAGGCTGGCCTGATACTTTTGAATCTCTCTTTTGCTGGCTAGTAGGAAAGTTCTGGTTATTTCAGTAGAGTCCTTCCACAGGCTGCCACACTGCTGAGAATTCTTTGACTGCTACTTTCATTCTTCCCTTTCCTTCTTCCTGTGCTGGGGATGGAACCCAGGGCTTTCTGCATATGCGGCAAGCACTCTACCATTGAGCCCTAATCCCCAGCCCCACTTCATTTTTCTTTTAGGACCAGTGTCAGGTAAGCCCCCAGGCAGTCTTGGCTACTGCTGCCTACCCCATCCTGACTCCCAGCAGTCTTCTGTAGGGCCTTCTAATGGCAGGAATCCTCCAAATCCTGTTTAGGTGGCCTGTGGAGCCTTACCTATGCATCCCCATCAGCCATCAATCTGCTATGTCAGAGGAAGAACAGCCTTCCAGGGAATTAGGAAGGCTAGGAATCACATGAGACCCTGAGGTGTGGAGGAGGAAGCATCGACTCTGTGCCCTCAGACTCCCACTTGGCCCTTCACAGGTGAGCCTCCCTCTGTGGGAACGTTAGTCAAGCTCTGCCAGCTTCTCTTTGCTCTATTGTAAAGACCACTTTGATCATGAGGTTTGTTGGGAGGCTGAAATGAAATAACCACACTCTGAATTCTAGGTCCCCACTCAGATCTCAAGGTATTAAGACACATTTTTAGACTTGTTCGGTACAACACAGAATTGGGCATTAGTGGAAAGGAGGGACTTATTGTCTTAGTGCATTTTTTGCTGCTATAACAAAATATCTGAGACCAGGTAATTCCTAGTGAAGAGATATTTATTAGCTCTCAGTTCTGGAGACTGAAGCCTGAGAGAGCAGACAGAGCTGCATCTGGGGAGGGCTTTTGTGGTGAGACAGAGAGGAAAAGGGGTCTGAACTCATTCTTCATAAGGACCCCATTCCTGGTGACCCCATTCTCATGACAATGGTATTAATTCATTCATGATTCCTAATGGCCTCTTAAAGTTTTCCCCCTCTAAAAACTGTTGCCCTGGGGATTAACACATGATTTGGAGGGCATATCTGAACCATAGCATTTACCTAACTTAAAGAATGAAAAACAAAATGGTGGACTGAAAAAATTAGAGCTCTGCATTCTAGTCAAAGTCTAAATACTCAGGAAGTGATCTGGCAGACATCCCTAGATGGTGAGAAGAATGGCCATTCAGCCAGTGTTTATGAGTCCCCATGAGCTGCCATCAGGAGATAGAGAAAAGATGAAAGACCATTTGGGTTCTTGTTGTCATAGATGAATGTTTGCTAAGCACTTACTCTCCATAGAGCAAGGTGATAGATGTGGGGTAAATTAATAAAAGAATAAGAAAGGCAACCCTTTTGGGGTCAGGAGTTCACTCACTCACTTACTCCAAGAGTTCTTTCTTGCAATGTCTCTGTACTGGTCAGTCTCTGAGTCCTGACTTTGGATCATGCTATAGATTTAAGACGTGATTTCTGCCTCCAAGGGATTTATATTCTGAAAAGACAAGGAAGATATATAAAGAAATAATTAATAGCTGAAATATTTAAATTTTTTAATTGCATTAAAACACAGCATAAAATTTAGCATCTGAATCATTTTTAAGTGTATAGTTCCATAACATTAAGGACATTCACATTGTGGTGCAACTAGTCTTCAGAAATTTTCATTTTGCAAATCTGAAGCTCCATAGGGACTGAACAGCATCTTCCCATTCTCCATCCCCTGGCCCCTGACAACCACTTTGTCTATGAATTTGACTTCTCTAGGAAGCTCATAAAAGAGTCATATAATAGTTGTCCTTTGGTAACTGGCTTATTTAACTTACTACAAAATACTCAGGGTTCATTCAGGTCACAGTATGCCTCAGAACTTAGTTCATGTTTAAGATTGAATAATACTCCATTGCATGGATATTTCACATTTTGCTTATCTGTTCATCCATCAGTGGATTCTTATGTTACTTCCACTTTTGCCGTTTGTGATCAGCACTGCTAAGAACAAGGGCTTACAAATATCTGTTTTAGTCCCTGCTTTTGGTTCCTTTGGTGTATACCGAGAAGATCAAATGTAATTCTATGTTTGATTATTTACTTTTTTTTGCATTCCTACCAACAGGGCTTAAATGTTCCCAAGACGTTTTTAGCCTTTAAAGAAATCTACAGAACACCTTCAAGAAGAAAACAAAGAACACTCCTATTTCTCTTGCCCATGTTCCCCAAATTGAGCATTTGCCACTTTGCTTTCATATATAGATATATTTGTTTTCTGCCATGGTGCTCATCATCTCTAAAGACCTCAGTGTGGACCTCCCTAGAACTAGGGCATCCTCCTGGGTAACTGCCATGAGAGTGCAATCTATCCATGTGATACCTGTTCCCAAGGCAGCTCCTCAGAATCTGCGTGGCTAGAGTTCTGCAGTACTCCCTGCCCCACAGCTGAGATCAGTTCTAAATTTAAAGTCGCCGTGACAGAATGGTTTCCAAAATTGGAAAACAAGTTTTCCATCCCCTGTTCTAGTTAAAATTCTTCAAGTGTTTTCTTTTCCAGTTTCCGAGTTTTGTTTTTCAGAGGAAGTCATGCTTGGACTTTCCGTTTCAGCCAGCCAGTTTGAGGAGAGGATTGGACTCACTGCTTTGGAGTAAGTACCGACCTGAACATGCAGAATTAAAGTAAGCAGTGGAAAATGAAAGTCAGGGAAAGAATCAGCTTCTCACACATGAGGCATGATCTAAGCAGCAAGGGAATAAGGACCATTTTCTACCTCTTAGGTAGAAAACAGGAATATTTTGATGTCCTGTTTTCTACCTAAGAGGAAATTCAGCAAGTGTCTCTTGAAATCAGCTATAGGTTGAGCTGGGAGCTTTCAGACTTTAAATAGCTTTTGAAGTTGACATTTTTATCTTCATTTCCCGCCCAAAAAAATGCAGCTCAGAGATTAAAAGGTGGCCTCAGGCCATATATTGGGTCAGTGCTGGGGCTCAGATTGAAACCCACATTTGTCCTCTATCTCAAGACCTCATGTTCATTTTATTGATATCAGGCTGAATACTGTTTTTTACTTGAAAATTCAACTTTATTTATAAAGATTCTTTTATCAACCAAGAAGCCATTCTACCCCTTCAAAGTAACTGATAATTTTAAAAAAATCTACATAGTTTTTAACCTTTCTACATAAAACTGTATTATGGGATGAACAAACAGTCTCACAAGATGCTCCAAGACATGTAAGCAACAACAACAATGAAAAATAAAAAACAACATCTAGCATGAATGTTCTATTGACAGAATGAAGACTTAGGAATCATACTTTTTAATATGCGGCTCCACCAAGAAACGTAAACATGATAATACTTTGGGAGGTAAAGGTTTCATAATAAACAGTCTTTTTACATAGGATAGTTTAATTGTGATCGTGTAGGATTGATATTGCAGGCTAGTATTTATGCTCATTTTATCAAGTAAGTCTTCATCATTGTAAAAAGGGCACAGATATTTCTACATAGATTTTTCTAACAATGAAAATACGCAGATACTGGTTTGGTTTCATTATTCAGACCAATTAATAACAAATGCATAAAAAGAACTAAAAAAAATCATCAGGTGACTGACTTACAAAATTAAAATTTTCCCTGAAATCAGAGTATTGTACTTTATACTGTGTGTGTGTGTGTATATATATATATATATATATATATATATATATATATATATATATACACACACACACACACACACACACACAATAAAGGTCAGCCTGCTAAGAAATGAATGTGCTAGTAATGACTTAAGTAATAACTTCCACTGGCATCTCTTCTTCTGGGTCTCCATTTGTCCCACTGATGTTTGCCCAAATAATAAACACATTACGATAGCAACTGAGTTTACTATCATCAGTGGTACTCATAGCATATTTCTTACAAATGGAATAAGGTTCATTAGCTGAGATTTAATTCCTGGTTCCTCTCTGAATCTGCCAATTCCCTGGTGTGTGATTATCCACTAGGATTTGAGGAAATGTGTTTCTCAGTTCCCCAATACCACTTGACAAGATCTCCTTCAATTTGATTCTAGTGCTGAGGGTCAGTAAGTGAGAGGCTGTTGAATGAGGCATGTGAGAGGAGGGTACTGAAGGCTTACTGGAGTGAGAATACAGACGCCTCTCCCACAGTTTGACGTTGAGTGCCTCCATTAACCTATGCGATCACCAGTGTCCTCATTATAAAATGGGAGTTATATTTGCTTTCTAGAGTTGTGGGGTTAAATGAGATTATATATATATATATATATATATATATATATATATACAAGCTTATAATAGGGCCTTGCAAGTGGTAAGTACTCAATAAAATGTTATGGTTTGGATCTGAAATGCCCCCTCACAGGTTTGTGTGTTGAAAGCTTGGTCCCCAGAGCAGCCATGTTCAGAGGTGAGGCCTTTGTGAAGGTGATTGGATCCTGAGGGCTCTGACCTTATCAGTGGATTAACCCCCATAATTGGCATTATTTGGAGGTAATAGAGGCAGAGGCTGGTTGGTGGAAGTAGGTTACTGGGGGCATGCCCTGGAAACATGTATCTTATCTCTGGACACTTTTTCTCCCCTGGATTTCCTGCCTGCTCTGAGCTGAGCAGCTTCCCACCACCTGTCCTTCTGCCATGGTGTCCTGCCTCATCTCAGGCCCAGAGCATCGGAGCCAGCTGACAGTGGACTGGGACCTCTGAAACTGCAAGCCCAAACAATTCTTCCCTCCTTTAAGTTATTGTTATCAGGTATTTGTCACAGTGGCAAAGAGCTGGTGGCACAACTGTTATTACTGTTTGTTAAATGGTCTGATTAAAGAATGCTGATTAATTTATCAATTTGAACCCGAAATGCTGTTCCCAGGAGGTGGCAGAATTCTTCCTTAAGCCAGATCCTACTCCATAGGATACTCATCACATTTAGGGTGATCTGAAGCTGGGAGCTGGGGTGGCTGTGCACCAAGTGTCTCTCATCCTACTCTCGGGACCAGCCTCTTGGGATCTTTTTTTTTTTAATATTTATTTTTAGTTGTAGTTGGACACAACACCTCTATTTTATTTATTTATTTTTATGTGGTGCTGAGGATTGAACCCAGGGCCCCGCATGTGCCAGGCGGCGCTCCACCACTGAGCCACAATCCAGCCCCTCTTGGGATCTTTCCTCCTCTGAGTTGTTCCTGTTGAGTATTTAGGTCACAGTGACTAAAATCTGACGAATACAATCATATAAAGAAGAAACTAGACATATTTTGAATTATTTCATGTGATAGATCGTAGACTCATGTTTTAAGAAAAAGAGTATTGAAATCTGAATCAGAAAAAAATCACTTTTTACCACTCTTTACCAGTTATGTGACCTTGGCTACTGCACACAACTTCTCGGGTCTCTATGTCCTCATTTGTTAAGAAACAATAATATAAATAAGTCAGTCTTCATGGGAGGATTAAAAGAGATATGTGCCTGTATAAAGAAACAGATCTAATAGATATATACAGACATGGGAGAGGATTTGCTATGGGAATTGGTTCATGCAATGTTCCAGGAGCATTGTTCAGAGTCTAAAGGCCTCAGAATGGGGGAGCTGGTGGTGTAACTCTCAGTCTGAGGAAGAGGGGTGGAGATGGTGGACTGCTGTTGTAAGTCCTCGAATCCAAAGGCTGAAAAACCAGGAGGTCTGATGTAGAAGGGCAGGAGAAGATGGATGCCCCTGTTCAAGCAGAAAAAGAGAAAGAATTCACCTTTGGTGGCTTTTCCTCCCCACCCATGCTCACAACGGATTGGATGGTGTCCACCACATAGGTGAGGACAGATCTTCTTTACTTAGTCTGGTGATTCAAATACTAATCCTTCTAGAAACACTCTCACAGACACACCCATGAATAAATAATGTTTTACAAGCCATAGGGACATCCCTTTACTCAGCCAATTGGCATCTAGGATAAAGGGCTGTATACTTCAGGTATAATCATATAGTGTCAGGCTCCTGTTTGATTTAGGATAATGGCCTCAAGGTTTGGAATGGCTGCTTGGGGGAGGTAATGAGACTGTCTAAGCTAGTTGGAGACTCCTAGGAGTCTCTGGCAAGGATGTGTGGATTTCAGGCAATGGGGGGATCCTCCACCAGATTAACTACCCAAGTCCCTTTCACTCCAGGCCATCTGCAATTCTGCTGAAGAGAGAGTGTGCCAACTGTATAAAGAGAAAGCACTGAGTAGCTGCAGATCTTATCTGTGGCCTGGGATGGTGATTTAGGACGCTTGAGTGAAAAGTCCTAGAAAGGGCTGTAATTTTATCATCCTAGCAACTGTTGCTAGGTGCTGCCTCCCTTAGGTCAGAACCATGCCCATTGACCTGCCATTCCACCTGAAATATTACATTTATTCCCCAGATTCATTCCAGGGAGTAAATGTAAGTGAAAGAAATTGGCTGGGTGGACACTGTGCAAACTGAAGCCAACTGAAGCCCATTTAGAGAGAAATGACCACTTCTCAACCTTAGCTAATTGTTGACCACTGGCCATTTGAGAATGTGGGTCATGAGTTTTCAGGCCTGTCAGTTGTCAAGGGAAGCCAGGAATCTGGGTTACATGGGAAATGTCCCAACTTCTAAGGATTGAAAAGTTCTTTAAATGTTAATTATTTATTAAATACTGGGCTAGCCAAATAATGTGAGGGCCAAATGATACAGTTCTCAAGTAGTAGTTGCACCAGGGGAGAAGCAAGGGAGAATATCAAACTTTCATATTCTATATGAAATATAGAATCCATCTTTTTTGTGGTTGGGATCACAGAACATTCTTGAAAACATAGGCAATAAGTTTGCACATTGGATTTTAAGATTATGATCAAGAGAGTAATGACCAAAAGACATTAGTTAAGGCTCTGTGAAAGCTAAATGTCAAAACAACTAGAAAAGATAAAGGGTGACATTTTTTTAAAATGTTGTAATTATTTCCCCACAATCTTCTTTGAATTAAATATAGAAATATTGAAGAGATCAAACCCATCAACTTTTTGGGATTTATGGATTAATGTTGAGAAATAAATTGTGCACATTTGGTGTTTTAAGTATAGTCATTCTTCAGTCTCCAATAGAGAGTAGTTCCCTGTGGATACTAATATCTGCTTATGCTCAAGTATTTTCCATGGTGCAGTATTTGCATACATCCTCCCCCATACTTTCAATCATCTCTAGATTACAATGCTCAATATAAAGCAAACATTATGTAAATAGTTGTTATGTTGTATTGCTTAGAGAATACCAACAAAAAAATCTGTTCATGTTCAGTATAGATGAAATTATTTTTCCTGAATATTTTTGATTGCTAGCGATGATCAACTTTTTTTTCATATATTTGTTGATTGATTATATATCATCTTCTGAGAGGTGTCTGTTCAGGTCCTTGGCCCATTTATTGATTTTTTTTGGTGTTTAGTATTTTGAGTTCTTTATATACCTTAGAGATTTGTGCTCTATCTGATGTGTGAGGGGTAAAAATTTGCTCCCAAGATATAGGCTCTCTATTCACCTCACAGATTGTTTCTTTTGCTGAGAAGAAACTATTTAGTTTGAATCCATCCCATTTATTGATTCTTGATTTTAATTCTTGTGCCAAAGG